AATCAGAGACAGCCTACAGGTGAGAGCCAGACTTGGGAGGAGGGGAGCTGGGAATGACTGTGGGGTTGTGGGGCTTCTCTGGGGGAGAGACTAAAATCTTCTATTTTGATGACTACAACTTTGAATTTAATAAGAACCACTGAATTGTATGCTCAGAACTAAAGTCAACTAGAAAAACCGTGGCACCAGCTTCCCCTCTGTAAGCTGGCTGAGAAAAAGCCATCTCTGCCCCCCCAGGGTTGCCACTGTGGAGCAGCCCTTGTGAGCAGCCCTGGCGAGGTGTCCACTGCCGAGGGCCCCAGCTCCCAGGGCCACTGCTGCTCTCCCCTGGACCTGCTGTGCCTCACCCCAGAGTGGGCTGAAGGACACCCGCCCAGGTGCTGGGCGGCATCCCAAGAGGTCTTTGTGCCCCACGTGGTCCATGCTGTGGCTGGGCCCACCCCAGGGACTAGTGTGCAGGCTGCTGGAGGCTGGCCCAGGGGTCACTGACTTCCCTCCCTATGCCCCTCTAGGAGCAGAGCAGACGGAAGGGACGGAGGAGCCAGCCCGGGCGGCGTCACCACTCACGAGTCGGCAGTCAGAGGTGTGTCAGGCTGCAGGCCGCTGGGTAAATATTTGCATTATGTCGTCAGCAGCTCGGCCGCCTGCACAGCATCAACACTGTTCCTGGAGAAGCCTGGCACGAGCCGCCCAGCCAAGGCCGATGTCAGGGTACAGAGCCCCCGACAGGCCAGCACACTCTGGGCAGGCTCCTTTCCACATAAGGAGGGCCAGAAGGCCTGGACTTTGCTGTCGCAGAGAGGCTGGTCGTGTCGGCCCCCAGGGAACAGCCCTGGCAAGCAGCCCTCGCGAGGTGCCCTCTGCCCATGGCCCCAGCTCCCAGGGGCCACTGCCTCTTTCCAGGGTGGACACCAAAGCCTCAGGGACCATCTCAGAGTAGAACCCAACCCAGGAGCTCCTCCAGCCCTCAGTTATTAAGTCAGGGGAGCAGCCCAGTCTCAGGGCCAGCCAGCTGTCACGCCCTGAGGTCACTCCTCAGCTTAGGGCTAAGGCTAGGAAGATGTCCAGAGCCCACACACGGCCCACACACCCAGCATCCTTGTCCCACGTAAGGCTTTGCCAGTGGCCTCCCCACTGGCCCTGTCCTCGAAACATGGACCCAGCAGGGACTGAAGGCAAATACTGTGGGCTCTGGACAGGTCCCCACAGGCCCCACTGTACCCACTGTTGGATACTTACATTCTGCACGGAGTCCTGGTAGGAGGGTGGCAGGGACGAGAGCTGGGACTCAGAGTGGTAGGGTGAGAACCCTTTCCGCAGCGTTCTGAACTCTCCAGAGCCTGCCTGCTTGCACAAGGAGATGGAGTGAGACAGCCGGTGAGGGAGCTCCATTCAGAGGCACGGTGCCACGTTCCTCACTGCGAGGGATCTGCCCTCGCTACCATCGCCAGTGGCTCCCGGGGCGGGTGCCCACCAGGACAGTTGTCATGTGAAGGCCATGTGACCGGGATGAGTGGCCCACAGGCTCTCCCAGTCCGGCCCATGTTACTCTGCAGCTGAGTCCCGCACTGGGTTCCTTTGATGACACCCTTCAGTGGGGCCTGGGGCTGCCCCTACCAGCCTTTAGGACACCCCCAGCAGGTCCTGGAGGTTCCCCTAGAATCCAGAGAACCAGAGCAAGGGAGGGCGCAGGAGGAAAGCTGGGCAGGTGTGGGGGGCCCTGGGTGGTTCTCAAAGGGCAGAGCAAAGCCCCAGAAGCCGGGGCAATGGGCAGGACTCCCACCCCTCCACAGCCACACTCCCCCAGCACCCTTCCTCAGGAAGTCTTGGGGCCTCTTTGGGGCCACTCTTCTCCACTTCAAAGGAACTGAGAGAAGGCTGTGCCTGGTGGTGACCTCTGGGGACCTGAGTGTGACCGAAGGCCTCAGAGCAGTGAGCAGTGGGGACATGGTGGCCCTCAGAGGGCCCAGAAAGCCTCATGGGCTCAGGAGCCCTCCCTGACAGCTTTGGCCAGCAATGGGACTGCCGTGCCAGTGACTGTGGGTGGCCCTGCCAGGGGCAACAGAGGTGCCCTGGAACCACACTGGGCATGACAGTCTGCACCTACAGTCCCAGCTACTGGGGAGGCTGAGGCAGGAGGAGCACTTGCACCCAGGGGTTCAAGACCAGCCTGGGGGACAACCACAACAACAAAGGCCATAAAATCATCCTTGATTCAGAGCAGGTGGCCCCTTCCCATCAGGTGCCAAGAGGAGGCACTTCGCCTGCTTGAGCCAGTGCCCACTCACCCCACCAGTGGCAACCCTATCACAGCCACCTGGGCCTCTCTAGGGTATCCCACCCAGCTCTGCTCAAAGGTTAAAAGGGGGGGGGGGCATTGTGGGATAGTCACAAAGTGGTGTCCAGGTAGAGAGTAGTAGCACACACCAGTAATCCCAGCACGTGGGAGGCTGAGTCAGGCGGACTGCTGTGAATTCAAGGCCAGCCCAAGTTACATAGCAAAGCCCGTCTCCAAAACAAAAGGAAAGGAGGGAGAGACTAAGGGAATCCTGCTGCCTGGAGATCACGGTCCTGTCCACCCTCAACCCCATTTCCTTGGGAGGAAGCATGTGCTGTGGATTGGGGGTGCTTTTTTAATTAGCAGCACACAACTCTCAGCCCTGGGCCAAGCAGCATCCAGGACAATTTGCAGTCCACAGGATTTGACTAGGGCGCCACAGCGCCGGGCAGGAGAGAGCTGCGTCTCTCATTAAGCGGCAGCAAGCGTAATGGCGCAGCAAATGGGGAACCATTACCACACTCCAATCCAAATTACAGTCCTGCTGCTCTGCGTGTGGCCCTTGGCAGGATGAAGTCCCTAGACCGGCATCACTGGGGGCAGAGCTGCCGTTGCCCTCCTCCCTGTCTGGCCCCTGAAGCCCACTTCTCGGGCTAGTGAGCAGCAGTGCAAGGGCCAGGCCAGCAGGAGGGCACCAGGGGCTGTGGGGCCATCAGGGAGGCCGCAGAGTGGAGGACAGTCTGGGGTCCATTCAGGGCCTGCACTGTGGCCACACCTGCTCACAGCCTGCTTCAGACTCCCCATGTGGCCTCTGGCTACTTGCCGATCCTCTCTGGGCCTTGGTGACACCACCCCTCAGGCTCCCCTGCAGCTGGGGAAGCTGATCCCTCACCCTGTGTTCACCCCCAGGGCAACCCCTTGTGAGCACCAGCACAGGTGCTAGACGGAAAAGGGCGAAAGGAGACTGCCAATCTGCCCGACAAGGAGGTCGAGCCTGGCAGCTGGGGTGAGGACCCCTTCTTGGGCTGACCCCTCTTCCTGCTCCAGTGGCCCCACTGTGTACCAGGCCTAGCCTGTACCCTATGGCAAGGCTGGTGCAGTAAATAGAGGTAAAAGACAGGCCCTGGGCTGCCCAGTGCTCCCACCTGGGCAGCCTGGCCACAGAGGGCCGGACACACCAGAGTGGCCAGTATAAGACCCATCTGCAGGGCCAGTGCAGGGAATGGACACATGCTCTGGCCACAGGAAACAGTGGCGTGGGGTGGCAGGGACTTCCTGTGAAGCATGAGGCCTCCAGGGCCACCCCACAGGGACACAGGGCCCTCAGCACAGTGTGGCACCGTACAACAAGGGTCGGTGATTGTGGAGGCCAGGGGTGACCAGCATCCAGAACCACAGGTAGGGACAGCACCACAGCCACTCCCACACCTAACCCCAGGACAGTACAGCATTGGGTGGCTTCCCTGGAGTGGGCAATCTCAGGACCAGGAGAAAAGGACAGCGAAGCCCCACTGCACTGGACTACAGCACTGGGCACAGCACAGGCTGAGCCAGCTTGCCCACCAACCCCCGCCTGCTTCTCTACTGGCCCCACTGACCGCCCAAGAAGGGGCAGCCCACAGGAGTCCTACAGGACTTAGTGCCAGCTCTGCCCAGAGAGAGCAGGTGCGGGGGCATCTGAGAGGGCCGACGTGCGCACTCGGGGTGCTGGACACAAGGACACTGCAGACACAGCACACACCACTCTGAGCAGCACTGCAAACCCCGCCCAGCACAGCTCTACCTGCAGCTGATGTCTTGGGCGGCCGCAGGGCAGGGGCAGCTGGAAGGAAAGAGAGCAGCGTCATGGCAGCCCCAAGCGCGCAAGCGCGGCCCTTCACTGCTGCCCCGATTTCCCTGGACAGCTGTCGGCCTGCAGGGGCTGCAGGGCCAGGGCAGGGGGCCCTTGGGGTGGGCACCCTAGGGACCTGGCAGGTAGCAGGTGCTCAGCCTGTCCTTGTCAGATCTGGGGTTTCCAAAGACAGAGCTGCCATGGGCCTTGGGGGCCCCCTGCGAAACTGTGGAACATCACTTCTGCGGGCTGGTGCAGCACCCCCGGGCCCCCACAATCTCATACCCCAAATCCCATTTTCAGACGAGATGTGTGGGCCACCCAGAACTGCATGGCTTGTAACAGCAGCATAAGGGCCAGGTCCCACGCACCACAGTGGCCCGGCCCTCATCCCCTACAGGGCTGTGACTGTCTTTGTGTGGTAAGTAGGAGCCAGGCAAGGGGGCCACCGGGCAGGGAGCAGAGTGCAAAACACAGAGGCCCTTAACTGGATCCAACAGAGCAACCCCTGGCCTCCTGGGGCAGTATGCCCCCCACGTAGATGGCTCTTACACAGGGAGCCCACAACAGCTGACCATGGGGCCCACGGCCAGAGGCCCCAGCTCCCAGTGCTTTCCCAGCCGCCCTGGAGCTCCCTGAGGGGCATATGCGGCAGAAGCATCACTTTTAGACAGAAGAGCAGAGGCCCAGAGAAGTCGGGCCAATTGCCCAGTGCGCCCAGCTGCCAGTGGCACCAGCGGTCCTGCCCAGAGGCTCCTTTGGCCTCTGGTGCTGGGGCTCAGGTGGCACTGCCAGTCTCATCCTGCCCATAGGCAGACGGCCCATCCGCTCAGGGGCTCAGGCAGGGCAGGCCAGACTCGGGTTCCTGTGAAGGAAACACTTAGAGTCCTAGAGACCTACAGACTCTGCCACCCAGGAGGATACAGGGAGCCAAGCCCCGCTGCCCCATAGGCAGAAGAGGGCACCCGGAGCTGCTGAGCAAGCAGGTGACCAAACCACAGCCACAAGAGTCCTGCGAGGCCAGCACATCGGGAGGGGCCCACGGACCAGGACAGCCCCAACCTTCTCAGACACAGGGACACGACAGGGGTTAACACTGCCCCTGCTCATCCGCCGAAGGGACAAGGCTCAGCGGGCGGTGCCAGGCCCAGAGCGCAGTCACCCGGCCTTGCAAAGCCCAGCCCAGGTGAGAGTGGGGTAGTCAGCTCTGCCCAGGATAGCTTGGCTGGCTGGGACCAGAATCTTCCAGCATCCAAGCCCACGTCCCCTCAGCATCGAGCCTGCGCTGCCCCGTCTCGGGGCTCAGCTGTGCGTCCTAAAATATGTGCTGTAATCCCAAGTCCTGGCACCTCAGCAGGGGACCTGCTTGGCAACCAGGTTTTCCAGGCTGACCCTGTAAAGTGAGGTCACGAGCTGGGGCCCTCATGCTGTGAGACTGCATCCTCAGGAGAAAGAGAAACAAGGACAAAGAAAGAGGAGGCTGTAAGAGCATGCACGGGAGGCAGCACCGCCAGCCAAGGACTGAGGCCGCGGGGTAACCAACACAGCCTGGGGAAGGAGGCCGTGGTGACCTGTGCCTCCCAGTTAGGGAAACTCCGGTACAACAGCCAGAGCGAACTTAGGGAGCACCCATGCCAGGAAGCCCTGCCCCAGGACTCAGTCTCCTCTCACGTTTGCCTGGTACAAATGCCAGCCACTGTCCTCAGCCCTGCGACACCCGGTGGGATGGGGGAGGGGACGGCGCTGGGCACAGAGGCGTGAGCTGTGTCCTTCCCAGTGGCCGCCTGTCCAGGGCCCATCCCCTTTGGTGGGGCTGGCTTCTCCCACACAACACAACAGAGACCCCTGTATCAGCCCAGCAGGGTCACAGCCCCCGACCCCGGGCGGGGGAGCGGCCGGCGTGGGGAATCCACAGGGAAAATAATAAGGTACATGTGCGAAGCCTGGAGCTGAATCATCCCGCAGGAAGCGGCTGTGTGGGTAAAATGTTAAAGGCAACACAAGAAAGAAAATACGAGCTGCAATACAGCAATTTAGCCTGTGAACACTCGGCACGTTTTTAATTAAAGCTATTTTAGAGTTAAATAGAGGCCATGGGGGAGGAGCTTAAGCCCGAGGCCAAGTCCCCTCCGCCGGGCACCCCGAGGTCCCGCTTCTGCTCAAGGTGGGGGTGGGCAGATTCCCTGCGTAGTAGGGAGGGGGGTGTTCTGCACAGTTTGATCCCACTGACGAGATTTAAATGCCAGAATCATAAAATCTTACATGCCGAGAAGCTGAGGCCACATCTCTTTCTCCAAGATTCCCAAACATGGTCATCCAGTGACACAATGACGCTTCCAAAGATGGCGCCTTGCTCCCCAGCAGGGCTCCAGCAGCTACATCCAGGTCCCAAGCAAGGACCGGTTGGCCAGGGGCCTGCGGGCAGGAGGCCTGGCTGCGTCCCGGGCACAGGGAGGAGGTTGCAGGGCTCTGCCTTCCTGGCGCCCCTTAGAGAGCAGACCCACAGCTCTCCCGGTGGGCCATGGGTGACACAGACCCTCCTGCTCACCTCTGCTTCCCTGGGGCCATGACACAGAAAACATTACGTGTGCTGGACAGCCACACAGAGTAACCAAATGCCCATTTTACAGATCAGGAAACAGAGGCCTGGAGAAGTAGCTATGGGGTCCTCATAAAGCAGAGCTCTATGCCAAGCCTATGCATCCCTTGACCCCTCCCTGCTCTGCCTCTCCATCTTCCTCCTCCATACAGCAGCCCCCACATGCTGTGGAGAACTCCATCCCGGAGCGTCGCCCACGACCCTGAACATTCTCTGGCTCAGTGCAGGCCACAGCTCCCTGAACTTTTGTTGGCAGGGGTTCAGGGCTGCCCTCCATGGCAGCACAGGGACAGAGAGGGAAGGCTGAGGCCCCATCTCAGGACACCGGGAGTGGCCCCAACATTCGCCTGGTGGGAGACCCTGGCCAGGAAGTCCTCTGCTGTGGGCAGAGTCGGTGCTGAGAAAGAAGCAGGTGGGGCTGGTGCCCCTCCCCACAGCACAGGCATGCACAAGCTGAACGAGACTTCGGCCGGGCCTCTCGAGCCTCTGCACAGGAAGATCCAAGCTGCCCTCCCCGAGGGCGGCACTAGCCCGAGCCCTAACCTCTCACCATGAGCTGGGGAAGCTGGCTCTAGTCCAGGAATCCCACCTGACCATTAGTAACCAGCAAGCCTGGGTCCAGCCAAGGGCTGGCATGTCCCAGAGTTTAGGAACCCAAGGTCTATGTCTAGTGGGCCTGAAAGGCAGGGTGCAGGGCAAGGTGAGGATGTGGGCAGAACCCACCCCTGCTACCTGGGGAGGGCAGGTCCCCAGGAGTGGCTAGCCCTGTGCAGGCCCTAGGGCTCAGACCCTGTCCACCCTCTGCTCTGGGTGTGGATGCAATAGGCGGGAGGCTGGAGGGGCTGTTCCTCCCTGGCTTTCACTTTTTTTTTTTTTTTCTTTTTTTTTGGCAGAACTGGGGATTGAACCCAGGCCCTTGTACTTGCCAGGAAAGTGCTTATTCTACTGAGCCACATCCCTAGCCCCTGGCTTTCTCTTTTCTTCACACACATTTCCAAGTCTAGGACCAGGTCTGACACTTGGGGCAGGGGTGGAGTTTCCCAGGGGGACAAGGGGTCCAGGAGAGCAGGCACAAAGGGGTCAGAGGATACTCTCCTTCCATGGGAGGGGGCCAGCAGCCAGTTCCTGACCAGATTGTGGTGCTACTTCTCACAGAAGACCCAGCACAGGAGCACCCTGAATCAGGGCTCAGAACGGGCAAGGCCAACTGGGACAGATGCGCAGGTCACCAGAACTGCCTGGGCTTGGTGCCCCCTGCCTGGCGTGGGAGGCCAGCAGCACCCTCTGAGGCTTCTGGCCTCCCCTCGAGCAGGGGTCCCTCTCAGGGGCCTGAGCCCAGGTGCCGCCCTGCTGAGCCCCCACCCTCTTGCAGATTGTACCCCACAGTGGGGACCTGTGTGCACCCAACAGCAGGCGAGGCCCAGCACTAGAGCCGGTGTCCTGTGGGCAGAATCCACCACCTTCAACTGAAACAGAGCTCGGCTCACTCACAGGACTGCGGGGCACCCCAAGGTGCAGGGTATGGTGTGAGCCAGGAAGTCCTGACCACTATGGGGACTGTCCCCACAGCTCCTGCAGGAACAGGCTTGGGGATGACTGTCCCAGGGCTCCATACTCAGGGCTGTGGGCCTCACTGCAGCCACAGAGGGTGCTGCCGGTCTCCCAAGCCAGGCAGTGGGCACCAAGCCCAGCCAGTCACCCGGCAACAGGGCCAGGCATCTGAGCTATCCCTGGGGCTGTTTCCCAGAGAAACACTTTGGGCATCTGGGGCAGCCACTTAGGGGCCAGCAGGGAAGGGGGCTGAGATGAAGCCAGGGGTGGGCACAAGAGACACAGAGGCTGGGGGAGATCAGCCAAGCCAGATGGGCCCAGACACCACCACTGGGGCTGAGCACCCCAATTTGCCACACCTGTCCCCACCTGCACCAGGGGAGACTCCTTGTCCCCTCCGAGTTCCAGCCACACTCCACAAAAGACCCAGTGCCCTGGCACCAGACATCCCGTCCTGACCCTCAGTGACCCCCATCCTCCGAGCATCACAGTCTCAGTGTCTAGGGTGCAGGCCCAGGACCAGGTGGGAGGGAGACCCCAATCCAGGGAGGAACTGGCTGGCGAGTCTGGCATAGTGGGACAGGAAGGAGGTCCTGGGGGGTGTGCCTGCCTGCCAGACATGGCCGCCTCGTCACCCGTTCTGTGTCCATGCCCTGGCCCGGGCCCGGTGCCAACCCCTCATCCATAGGCTGCTTGGGCAGTCCGGATTACAGTAAGGATTAGGCTGTGACCCTGCTTCCCAGGAGGCACTGGGGCAGGGGTGGGGACAGGCAAGAGGTCCAGGGCACAAGACAGACAGTGAGCTCAGGGCCCTGCCCGCGCCCTGCAGGCCACCTACCTGCGGGAGGAGCTTGTCACCTTCCAGCAGCTTCACCCTGGTCTCCAGCTGCCTGGCGTAGGTGCACGAGGGGTCTGCAAGGACAAGGAAGCAGGGGACATCAGGCAGCAGCAAGCAGAACCGGCCAGCGCTGGCACCCCGCCCTGGGCCTCACCCCCATCCTGGGGCGATTCCTCCTGCAGGCCACAGTTTGCAGCCCACCCGGGGACCCAGAGTCCCCCAGCCCCTCCCTGCTGAGGCACAAGCTGCCAGGGCAGCACCTGTAGTGCTCCTTCCACTTGCCCTGTTCTCACGGAGCCAATTACAGCTCCATGCTGCAGGCAACCAGGAGCCAGGTGCCAGCTGATGCTCGGCGAGACACCCATGGGTCCTTCCCACGGCATGCACCCCACTTTAGGTCAAGGGCAGGGAGGCCAGACAGACAGACACCTTGGGAGAGGAGTGGATATGAGCGCCACATGGGCCCCACTTTCGGTTATATCGGAAAAGTAGGGGAAATCTGACAACGCTCTACCCCGACACTAGACCACTCTGTAGCCCTGGTCCCCTCCCCACGGAACAGGGCAATGACCTCCAGCCGCCAGCCCAGGAGGCATGCAGGGACCTGTGGGGGATAGGGGGTGGAACTCAGGCAGGGAAGGGACAGGCCGACCAGGGAAGGCAAGCATCCTGCCCCAAGCACTGCAGAGATGGCACAGGTACAGCATCGGGCGGCCACACAGTCGCCTGGTGGGAGATGAGCAACATGTCTCTAGCCAGCAGTTACAGGGCTCAGCTGCCAGTCGGGAGCCATCCACGCCCACTGTGGGCCCCCCAGCCTCTAACTCTGCCCTACAGGAAGCAGAGTCACCACCCCTGGCTGCGGAGGCACCAGCTGTCACCTCAGGGGCCGGGGACTGGAGAACAGACCCCTTGGGCTTCTACCATTCCTGGGTAGGCAGAGGACTTGAGCACTCCAGGGACAAGCCAGGGTCACTGTACCGACCAACTGCAGGCACGGTGAAGCTCCTGCCTGCCCCAGCAGGAGCCCACCGGCGTCCTTGGCTGTGACATGCACCCCCTGCCACCTCTCCAAACCTCAGGCTCGAGCACGGGGCAGATGTGGAGTTGGCAAGGGCAGAAATCACCAGGAACATGTGGGCACTTTCTCATGCCCCCGCCTCACAGGCCCCGCCCACCTGGGCACCCTGTTCCTGTGCCTTTGGCCTACTGCTGTGGATCACCTCTCCCCTAAACACACAATGGGGACCCTCAGGAGACCCCTCCACTCAGCCCAGGTCACAGGGCACAGCAGGGTGTCCATCCAGCCCTGGCAGGAGGCAGGGTGCAGGGTGGGGCACTGAGAGCCAGACCCTCCCTCGGGTTCCTCCCAGCCACCTCTCAGGAATTTGGGGCTCAAAGAAGCAGGGCAACTCCTAGGCAGCACGGCAGGCCCAGCCACTCTGGGTGACAACTGCACCTGGCATGCCACAGGTCAGGCAGGAACCCTGCCGGGACTCATGCCATTAATGGGGAAAGGCCAAGGGTTCAGGGCACACTGGGCCCCTCCAAGCCTGGGGAGGGACAGAAGGTGCAGCCTGGGGTCTCCAGGGCCAAAGGTCCCACATCCAGTCCCCAGAGGCCCTGGGCAGCAGCAGGCTGGGCACGCTCCAAAGACTTCTGGTTAGACGAGGGGATGCCGATGTTCCTGACCACACAGGATCTCCCGTGGGGCAGGGACTGGGGTGGTGTGGTCCTGCTGCCCCCAAGAAAAGGGACAGGTGTGCTATTTATGAGCCTTGCAGCGCCCACGGCCAACCCCACGTGAGCACTGACCAGAAACCACAACCCAGGCCCAGATTCAGGCGCTGCCTCTGAGAAACCATCTGCTCAGGGTCACCCTGACCCCAACCGGCCGCTGCAAGGAACAAGATGTACGGCAGGCCACTAGGGTTTGCACAGCACTTTATTTCAATAATAATAATAATAATAATAATAATAATAATAACAGCCTTAAAGATATTTCCAACCATGCAGCAATTCTAATGGAATCTACCCAAAAAGATTAATTCCAATTATGAAGACTTTGAGCACAGTTATGATGGCCAAAACTAGAAATAACGACTTGTCCCTCACTTGCTGCAAGTTCCACCCTGTCATTACTAAAATGATATTTATTTAAGAGTTTCTATCCTAAACAATACCGAGAAGCGCTCAAAATGCCAGTGGGAAGGACTGGACCCGAAGCCATACGCCTAACGGCTGCTACATTTAAAAATATCTATGCAGTGAAACAAATTTAGGAAGAATGTGCGTGGAAATACGACTCTGCCCCAGTGAGGAACAAGTGGCCTTTATATTTATTCCCGTGCTTTCTTGTCATCTTCAAGTACCCTGTTTCTTCCTTTTCTGAGCTGCAACAGTGGACTGAACCCCAGCGCCATCCCCCTGCCTGCTGCCCCATGCTGCGGTCACTGAAGTTTTCCGGCCTTCTGGGCGGACCCAGTCCCCACCCAACCAGGTTTTTCACAACATTGGGAGCCAGCCGGCAGGCCAAGCACGCCAGGCACGGTGTTGCCCTTACTCAGAGCATCGAGGAATAACGAAAGCGAGGGGACCCTCCCAGGGGACTGTGAACCCAAAAAGAGCCTAGCTCCCTGAGGGCCATCCTTCCCAGCAGCCTCAAAACTTATGACCTCAGCAGGCGGCTCCCAGCTGCCGGCTGATGAGTGTGTAATTAAATTAATCCCAGGGCTGGCAGTAATGAGGGCTGGAGCAACCAGGGAGGGAAGCGTCACCGGCCAGCCCGGCAGCTTGGGAGGTGACCCCAGGAGGGATCCTGGGCTGAGCTCAGGACCATGGTGTCCCCTCAGAGGTACCCATCCCAGTCCTGGGACTGGGACCCACTGGGGCAATTCAAGGAGGGGTAGCATCCAGCTTGTGTTCGCCTCACTTCGGGAGCCTTACCCCACCTGGCTCTGCGGGGGGGCGACCACCATGCCAACCTGCCTTCCAGAAGCAGCAAGATGGGGACTGAATCACATCACCTTTCCTGGCCCAGTTTCCTGTCTGGACAGGTGATGTCACCCCCAGCTTCCTCTCCAGCCTTTGAAACAGCCAGACAGCAGGAACTAGGGACCAGGCACAGTCCTGGGAGCTGCCCTTCCTCGCCCTCTGGGCTTGGATGTCCCTGTGAGACTTGGGACAGGAATGAGGCCCAGGGACTTTGGAGGTGGCCAAGGGAGCCCAGGCCCAGCCAGAGAACAGGGCAGTGAGAAGGGAAGAAGCCAGGAAGTGGGGCAGCCACCTGCTCAGCAGCTCCCTGTGGGTGGCAGGTGCCCGGGCACAGCCCCCTGGAAAGGGCGCAGGACCTGGAGAAGTGGCCCAGAACTTAGAGAGGGTGATGCACCCTCCATTGGAAGGGAAGCGAGGCTGTGGCCACAGCAAGAAGAGGACACAGGACAGATCCTCCAGTTGCTGCCCATTGCAGGTCTGGGCCACACGAACCTCCCTTCCGGCCCTCCTCCTCAAAAGGCCCCGAGTCGTGCTTGTCCTGGTCCAGCCTCTTTCTGCAAGGTCTGGGGCTCTAGGAGGTGCTGACTTTTCCTCTAAGCCCCTCCCCCTGGCAGGCCACAAACGCTGGGCGATAGCTCTTGGGTGGAAGGGCCTCATCAAAGCAGCCCTGCTCAGAGACACGGGTCATATAAACTGCAGTCCCGCCTGGCGCCTCTGGAGCGCACAAAACTGCTGGGCCTCTCACGCAGCCTGCACAGCCCCACTGGGAATCGGCACACACTGCGGAACATGAGGAGGATTTGGGAGGGAGAAACACCCGAGGAGCCTGAGTGAGGCCTTCCCAAGGGGCACCCCATGCTGCTGCTGTCCCTGGAGCCAAGTGCTGCTCTGCCCCGGGCCAGGGATGTCCACACACCAGCCTGTTTATATTCAGCTTTGGGGACCAAGAGCCCACTGGTCCCCAAGTTCAGTTCCACACGTGACAGGGCTTCACTGCCAGAGCTGAGGTCGGGAGTGAGCAGAAGCCTGCTCTGGCCCGGGCAGAAGCCTGCTCTGGCCCGGTTCATCTAGAACACTCTCCAGTCTGGGTCCTGGCAGCCAGGCCAGAGGCCACACACGTCCTCCTCCATCCACCGCTCCAACCACATGAAAACCATGTGCCTGCCACTCAGCAGGGCACATGGGAGAAAATCCCTTCCCTGACTTTAGTGTCTATGTCCACACACAAGCAGTGGGACAGGAGGTAGCATCACCTGTGACCAGCGCGGATGGCAGTATGGCCGTCACACACTGTCTGCTTTGCTTGTGGGGATGGAGACTCACTGAGAGAGGCTGTGTACAGGCAGGAGGTAGCCACGCCGGCAGGGACACTGCCCACGTGGAGGCCACGTCCCACTTGGTTCCCACAGGCACCCACGGCTCCATAGGGAACTCTGAAAATCTTATTTCTTCCTGAAACCAGTTGTATTGGCCTCTCTAGGGAGGAGTGGCATCAGGGACAATTTAAGGGCTCTCTGGGCAGAGACCTCATATCCACTGTGTGGGCACTGTGGGCTCCTCCCCTCCCAGAAGCCTTCCCAAGGGCCCAGCCTCCTGGGTGACCTCTCAGGGGAGCTGAGCCTGCAGCAGACACAGCTGAAGCCAAAGCACAACGGCGAGGCTGAGCGTGGGCCGGAAGGCTGCAGGGAGGGGCAGTGGACATGGTTGATTCCCTGAGTCCAGGGAGGTCCCCTCACAACATAAAGGGAGGCCAGAAGAATGCTTTCATTGCTGGACACCAACCAAGTCGCTACCATGTGCCAGGCCCGGTGGGAAGGACCTTAGGGTCCTGCCTTCCAGGGCCAGGGTCCAGGAGGGACACACCAGGGGACACGTGGCCAGCAGTGACAGCTCCAGAAAGAACCAATCTGTCAGAGTAGCACATAGGGCACAGCAAGGGGCGAGGCCAGAGGTACACCCTGGGCCAGTAATGAGGATCACAGGCCCCAGCGCAGAGCAGGAGAAAGCGCTTGGGCAACCCCTCCCGTGCCTGTGAAACATCTGGACCACGCTGGGAGGCGGAACATCTGGACAGCTCTTC